GCATCCAGGAATCCCACTCCTAGGTATTTACCCAAGAGAAAGAAAACTTATGTTCACACAAAAACTTGTACGTGAATGTTTATAGCTGCTTTACTTACAATCATCAAAAAGTAGAAGCAACCCAAATATCTTTAATAGGTGAATGGTTAAAAAGGTGTGGTAGATCCATATAATAGAGTAGTATTCAACCATAAAAACGAACAAGCTTTTGATTTATACCAGAACATGGCTGAATCTGAAAGACATTATGCTAAGTGAAAGAAGCCAGTCTCAAAAGTTTATATACTGTATAATTCCATTTACATAATATTCTGGAAAGGAAAACAAAAAAGATGGAGACCAGATCAGTGGTTTCACTGTGATAACCCACAAGTCTCTTTAGATATACACATTTTTAAAAAAATACTTACGGTTGGAGTACAATTAGCAGTAACCATTATTTAGCTACCTGTTATATTATTTCCTTTTGTGCCCTTATATAGGACTAATTAGGTACTGTTTAGCTAACAGATATTTGAGTACTGGTATGTGGCCATAGTCACAACTCAATGACAACTCACAACTAACAAGTGGTTAGTTAGCATTGTACTGGATGCTTTAGTGTAGTTTGACCTAGGTAATATGTTGCAGGATTTCCTGGGTTGTACAAATGGTTAATGTGCTTGCCTGCTAATCAAAAGGTTGGTGGTTCAAGTACACCTGTAGCTGCCTTGGAAGAAAGTCTTGGTGATCTACTGCTAATAAATCAGCCATTGATAACCCTATGGAGCTCAAAGATACATCCAAATGCCCTGAGAGCCGAGCTACTGGGCTGAGGGCTGGGGACCATAGTCTCAGGGGACATCTAGCTCAATTGGCATAACATAGCCTGTAAAGAAAATGTTCTACATCCAACTGTGGTGAGGAGTGACTGGGGTCTTAAGAGCCTGCGAGTGGCCATCTAAGATACGTCTGCTGGTCCCATCCTGGCTGGAGCAAAGAAGAATGAAGAAGACCAAAGACACAAGGGAAAGATTAGTCCAAAGGACTAATGGACCACAACTACCATAACCTTCACCAGGCTGAGCCCAGAACAACTAGGTAGTGCTCGGTTGCCACCACAGACTGCTCTGGCAGGGATCACAATAAAGGGTCCTGGACAGAGCAAGAGAAAAATGTAGAACAAAATTCAAATTCACAAAAAAACAAAGAAACCAGGCTTGCTGGTCTTACAGAGACTTGAGAAATCTGTAAGTATGCCCCCTGGACACCTTTTGACTCAGTACTAAAGTCATTTCTGAGGTTTACCCTTCAGCCAAAATTAGACAGGCCTGTACGGCCAACAATATCACATGTGAGGGACATGCTGCATAGTTCGATCATATATATGGGACTAATGGGCACACCAGCCCCAAAGCAAAGACAAGAAGGCAGGAAGGGACAAAAAAAAAAGTAAACCCTATGGAGCACAATTCTACTCTGACACACATGGGGTCGACATGAGTCACAATCTACTCCATAGCAACTGGTGTGATTTGATTTTGTTTAGTATGTTGCAACCTTAAGCTTAAGTAAAACATGATAGTATGTAAGTGCTAGAGATATATTTTAATAAAACTTAAAAGATAAAAAATATAGTTCTAATTAAGATAATATGATGAAAAATGCATTTGATATTTTATTAACTTGCAAAACTAAGTCATCTTCTACCTGAATCAATTTTATTTTTTAGAAGTAATTTATCTTGTTGAAATAGAAAATATGAGTTTTAGAACTGTATCTAAGTTGCTTAGTTAAACCTTGATATTCATTCATAGCATTTTAGTTACTTTAGATATGTCTAAGATTAAACTAAAAAAAGAAAATTGAATTAAATTAAAAAATTTAAATTACCCAAATTCTACACAGCTGTTATTAACATCCTGGTAGACATCTTTTCACACTTCTTGCTCTGTGAATTTTTTGCATATAATTCTATTAAAAAATTCCATTGCCGTTGAGTCGATTCTGACTCATGGTGATCCAAGTGTTACAGAGTAGAACTGAGTTCCACAGGATTTCCTTGACTGTAATCTTTATGGACGCAAATCGCCAGGCCTTTCTTCCCGGGTGCCGCTGGGTGGCTTTGAACCACCAACCTTTCTGTTAGCAACTCGTGCAAACTGCACCACCTAGGGAACTTATGTTTCTATAAGTAGAGTTAATTCCTCCCTGTAACTTTTTTTTTTATTCAATAATACCATGAAAGTCCTCCAGTGTAAGTAGCTGTAGATCTATCTGCATGATCATATAAACTGGCTGCATGGTAAGGTTTTTTTCATAACTATTAGTCATTCTCCAAATGTTGGACATTTCAAATGTTTTTCTATTATAGAATACAACTTTTATAACTGTTCTTGCAAATTTCTGAGCTTTTCAGGATATTTACAGTACAATAAAGTTGATACTGCTTTTTATGTAATCTGTTGACATTGCTTTCAACTTATAATAACATAATTTCTATACTTGCTTTACCAACTCTATCTTATTTGAAATATTTAGCTCCACAGTAAAGTTATTTATTAAAGAGAAAACATTTGGGCAACTGTATTTTTTTTAAATATCGATTTTTTTGAAAGGAAACTATATTCAACAGTAAATCTATAGTATTTCTGAATAAGTTATACATGATGTTTTGGTACTGTGATATTTATTTGATACTGAAATATTTGAATGTGTGTGTTGTTTTTTTGTTTGTTTACTGTTGTAGTTTAAGTGAAAGTTTACATTTCAAGTTAGTCTCTTTTACAAAAATTTATATATACATTGTTATGTGACCCTAATTGCTCTCCCTATACCATGACAGCACACTCCTCCTTTCCACCCCTGATTTCCCATGTCCGTTCAACCAGCTCCTAACCCTCTCTGCCTTCTCATCTCACCTCTGGACAGAAGTTGCCCCTTTAGTCTCATGTATCTACCTGAGCTAAGAAGCACACTGTTCATGACTATCATTTTATGTCCCACAGTCCAGTTCACTCCTTGTCTGAAGAATTGGCCTCGGAAATTGTTTTAGTTCTAGACTGACAGAGAGTCCAGGGGCCATGCTTTTCAGGGTTCCTCCAGTCTCAGTCAGTCCATTAAGTCTGATCTTTTTACTAGAATTTGAGTTCTTCACCCCACCTTTCTCCTGCTCCATCAGGGACTCTCTGTTGTGTTCCCTGTCAGTGCGGTCATTGGTGGTAGCCAGGCACCATCTAGTTCTTCTAGTCTCAAGCTGATGAAGTCTATGGTTTATGTGGCCCTTTCTGTCTCTTAGGCTAATACTTTCCTTGTGTCTACGGTGTTCTTCAGCCTTCTTTACTCCAGGTGGTTGGGACCAATTGATGCATCTTAGATGGCCATGTGAAAGCTTTTAAGACCCCAGACACCACTCACCAAAGTAGGGTGCAGAACATTTTCTTAATAAACTTTGTTATGCCAGTTGACCTAGATGTCCCCTGAAAGCATGGTCCCTAGACCCCCGCCCCTGCTACTCTGTCCCTCAAAGTATTGATTGTATTCAGGAAACTTCTTAGCTTTGGTTTAGTCCAGTTGTGCTAACTTTCCCTGTAGTATGTGTTGTCCTTCCCTTCCCCTAAGATAATTGTTGTCTACTATCTAGTTAGTGAATAACCTCGCCTTCCCTCCCCACCCTCCTAACCATCAAAGAATGTTTTCTTCTGTGTTTAAGCCTTTTCTTAAGTTCTTATAATAGTGGTCTTATACAATATTTGCCCTTCTGTGACTGACTAAATTCACTCAGCATAATGCCCACCAGATTCCTCCATGTTATAAGATGTTTCATGGCTTCATTGTTGTTCTTTACTGTTGCATAGTATTCCATGATGTGAATATACCATAATTTTGTTTAGCCATTCTTCCGTTGATGGGCATCTAGGTTGTTTCCATCCTTTTCTATTGTGAACAGTGCTGCAGTGAACATGGGCGTGCATACATCTAGCCATGTGATGACTCTTATTTCTCTAGGATATGTTCCAAGGAGCGGGATTGCTGGATCGTATGGTACTTCCATTTCTAGCTTTTTAAGGAAACGCCAAATCAATTTCCAAAGTGGTTGTACCATTTTACATTCCCACCATCAGTGTATAAGTGTTCCAGTCTCTCCACAACCTCTCCAGCATTTATTATTTTCTGTTTTTTGGATTAATGACAGCCTTGTTGGGGTGAGATGATATCTCATTGTAGTTTTGATCTGCATTTCTCTAATGGCTAATGATTGTGAGCATTTCTTCATGTGTCTGTTAGCCGCCTGAGTATCTTCTTTGGTGAAGTGCCTGTTCATATCCTTTGCCCATTTTTTAATTGAGTTATTTGTCTTTTTGTTGTTGAGGTTTTGCAGTATCTTGTAGATTTTAGAGATTAGATGCTGATCAGATTTGTTGTAGCCAAATTTTTTTTTCCCAGTCTGTAGGTTGTCTTTTTACCCTTTTGGTGAAGTCTTTTGATAAGCATAAGTGTTTGATTTTTAGGGGCTCCGAGTTATCTAGTCTCTCTTCTGGTGCTTGTGCATTCTTGCTTATGGTTCGTATTGTGTTTCGGTCATGTATTAGGGCTCCTAGCGTTGTCCCTATTTTTTCTTCCATGTTCTGTATCATTTCTGATTTTATATTTAGTTCTTTGATCCATTTTGAGTTAGTTTTTGTGCATGGTGTGAGGTATGGGTCTTGTTTCAGTTTTTTGCAGATGGATATCCAGTTATGCCAGCACCGTTTGTTAAAGAGACTGTCTTTTTCCCCAATTAATGGACTTAGGGCCTTTGTCAAATATCGGCTGCTCATAGGTGGATGAGTTTATGTCTGGATTCTCAGTTCTGTTTCATTGGTCTACGTATCTGTTGTTATACCAGTACCAGGCTGTTTTGACTACCATGGCAGTATAATATGTTCTAAAATCAGGTAGTGTGAGGCCTCCCACTTTGTTCTTCCTCTTGAGTAATGCTTTACTTATCCAAGTCTGCTGTTTTTTGTTTTTTTTAATAGATTATCTTTCTCAAGGAATAGATCTTTCTGGAATAGAAGTAATAGAAAATGATCTACTTTTTATTGGAAGAGCTCGACTTGAGGTGGAAAATCAAGCTAAGCGCCTACTGGAGCAGGGTGTGGAGACTCAGGTAATAATAATATAGCTTTTTTTAATGTGAAAAAATATGGCATACTACAGATGAATATTTATTTGACTTTTAGTTCAGAAAGTAATATATGTCCCCGTTTTACTGCTGATAAACTACCTACTTCTACAATTTGAATTGGAGAGTAAGGTATAAAAATATAAAGAAAATTATACCAGAAATATATTTAATCCTACTAAAAGTAGATACTAAGATTTCTAATGTATAATGTATGTAATATGAAATATAGTTTATATAATGTGTATATGTAGATAAATAGATAGTTAATTCCTGTTGAGCATTCTTGCTTTGTCCAAGACTCTGGTACTCATTTAAGCCTCTCAACAACCCGTTAAAGTTGGTGCTATTGTTATTTCCTTTTTTCAGATGAGGAAACAGGGAGGTTAAATAATTTGTCCAAGATTACTCAGCTAGTAAATGATATAGTTAGATCCAAACCTTAAGCGTACTAATTCCAGAGCTTTACACCTGTAATCACTATGCCATAATTAAAAAATTTGACTCCTGTTTCTCCTAAGGTATCAATTTCCTGATGCTTATTTTACTTAATTAGAAGAAACCCAAAGGTATTGATATATTAGAATCAACAAATTAGGGTTAAATCTTTGTTCTTTTACATTTGTAATGCACTCAGATATTTTCTTCATTTGTATTAGACCAAATACAATTATTAATATTCAGCTTTTTAAATATCACCTAAACCAAGAATTTCATTTTGTACATTTGTATTGGATGAAAATAATGTTATTAATAGTTCTTTAAGCATTCTAAAAATCAGGAAGATACTTCTTTGATTTTTGATTCTTAATGCTTGTAATTTAAAAAATATAACTAAACATCAGTTACTTTTTAAAATAAACTTTTTAAATTGAAGTATTACATACTACTGAAACGTGAAAAAATCATGAATGTACATATAGCATGAAATATAACAATGTGTACACATTTGTGAACTCGAAACCCATGTCATGAAATAGTATGTCACCAGCATTCCTGGAATGTCTTTACTCTCACAGTCACTGCCAGTCTTCCCCAGAGATGACCATCGTCTTGACTTCTAGCACAAGAGATTAATTTAGCCTGTTTTGTCATTTATGTTTTAACTCTAGGTCTCCTTAGGAGGATAAAACTTTTAAGCTATTAAAGAATTAGGTACTTCACTACATCAAATAAGAAAAGATACCTTCTTAAGATCTTAAAAAGAGAACTCTATTAATTAATTTTTCTGCTCTGAATTAAGGAAGGAAGAGCAGTTGCCTTGTTCAGAAATGACCTTTCGGTTCAACTCTCCAGCTTTCCATCTGCATATGCAGATTATACCTTCTTTGGGGTTTTATTTATTTATTTATTTCTATGTATTCAATACTTAATATTTTAATATGGTAGTCAAACCAAGGTGTTCTAGAAAGGAAACAATAATGTAGCACTAAAACATTATTTATAGTAGGGATGGGTGATTTTAACATGCCACATGGGAATGGTTACTTTAAAAGATTAATTTTTTTTTTGTATTCTTGTATATTTTGAGTAAGAAAGTGTTTTCTAGGATAGTTCCTCCTAAGTAAGCTTATATTTTACATATTTTGCTATTTTTGTGTACATTTTAATAATTGCCACTTTAGATTTTGCTTTACACTTTTAAAATTCATATTAAAAATTAAAGGCGAATTGACAAAATTTTAGGAAATTAATATTCTTTAAGTACTGATAATTTTATTATCAATATAATCTAATGATTGCTAAAGTAGATGACCATGGTTGTTTAGCCAATGACCTGTTTCTGAACAAGTTAGGTTAAGTTAGAAAGATAAAGAAGAAAAAATGTAAATGTAATGTGTGTCTAAATGGGTAGATGTGGGATGATCTGTGTGGATCTTAGAAAACAGGAGCTAGAGAGCTATAATTTTTTAATATAAATTTATATAAATTTGCATGGTTCAGAGGAGGGTAGATCTTCCTCAGTGGATGGAAATACTGTCTGTTTGTAAGGCTGTAAGGCTAAGGGTCATATTATCCTAGTTTGTTGACATTAGCCATTAAGATTATCTAGTTCATTTTTCTTGTTTAGATTCTATATGTATAAAGTTATATTCTGAATATAATTTAGATTCCTACATATCTTTGCCTAAAGGGAGACAATGTACTGATCTGCCAGTATTAACATCCTGGTTCAATTGAGTTTGTACTATTTTTCTCATCCTAAATTGATATTTGTGTTTATAACATCATTTATTTCTGGATTTGGTCATGTATGTCTGCCTCCCTCATACCTGGAGCTTGTGGGATATTTCAGAAAGTCAGGTTTCTACCTTTGCTAAAATGATGATATCACTGAGATGATACTTTCTGGAAAGCAGGGTATTCTAATAAAAAGACCCTGTGTTTGGGAGCTAGACAGCTCTGTTAGTCTCTTCTTGGACAACAAGCCGGAGGTGACATTCAGTTGTGTCAGCAGGCAGTTTAGGAGTTAAGAATGAAACTAACCTTTATTGAATGTCTGTTTTTGCCAGGCTTTGTGTTAGTCACTTTACATTTGTTATCTTTAATTTCTGTAATGAATCTGTGAGAAAGATATAATTATCCACTTTTTATAGTTAAGGAAACAAAGGCCTGGAAAGGTTAGGAAATCAGCTGAAGATTGCACAGCTAGGAAGTGGTAGAATCATGGTCTGAAGCTCCTGCTTTCCCCATTCTTTAATAAGACTAAGCAGTTAATTCTAATTGTGTTTTAAAAATTACATTTAAAATTATTTGACAATTTGTGAAACAACTTATGTAGGAAAAGGAATTCTTATAGCATAAAAATTTCTTTAGGAAGTTTCCATCTAATGACTAGTCTAAACTATTCCCTCAATATTCCTCAGAATTTTAATGTTTTTTGTTTAACTTTTTTTTATTCTCTGAAATGACTATTTTACACTTTCTCCACTTTACATCAACCTTCCCCTCTTGCCATACACCTCATTTTACTCTGAGCAGATGCCATTAATTTCTACTTCACAGAAGACCTCTCATATCACCCATGTTTTAGATCCCTCCCTTTTTAAAATTTTCTTATGAGTCTTGTTGACTTTTCTATCTCTCATTTATATCTTCATCTTCTCCCTTTTTACTTGTTCTTCATTAGCATTTAAACATGTACATTTTATGCCACTCTCTGTTTAGTCACAAAGCTTTCTTTTAGTTTTTCACGTACGTTATTTTCCTTCCTCGCTTAGGACCTTTCTTCATGCTCTTTTTATGTCTGAAATACTCTTCATAGACCAGAAAAAACCAAGCCTGCGTCAATTTCGACTCATAGCAACCCCATAGGACAGAGTAGGAATGCCCCACAGGGTTTGCAAGGCTTTAAATTTTTACGGAAGCAGACTGCCACATCTTTCTCATGAAGTGGCTGGTGGGTTTGAACTGTCCTCTGTTTGGTTAGCAATCAAGTGCTTTAACCACTGAGCCACCAGGGATCCTTAACTACTCTTCATACTTTCCATTAAAACAGATGCTATAGCTTATCACATTTTATTCTTAAATTAGATTTTCCCATTTGTCAAGAATCACTGAAATAGTTATTCTTAATATTTATTATAAGTATGTTGTTAGGCGCCGTGGAGTTGGTTCTGACTCATAGTGACCCTGTGTACAACAGAACAAAATATTGTCTGGTCCTGCCCCATCCTCATAATTGTTGTTATGCATAAGCTCATTGTTGCAGCCACTGTGTCAATCTATGTTGTTGAAGGTCTTCCTCTTTTTTGCGACCCTCTACTTTACCAAGCATGATGTCCTTTTCCAGGGACTGTAAGTATAGACTAAAAGAAATATTTTAACTTGGAGATACCATTGCATTCATGAAATATTACACACATAGTTTACAGGTTCATAGCCTAAATAGAGATGTTTAATATTAATAAACAAGAAACTTAAAAAAAATTACATGTCATCATTTGCATTTAATAATTAATTTGACATTTATATTAGTTTCTCAAAACTGTTGATAATTCTCTTTTGTTGAATAGGTAGTTGATGGCTGTCATTTTCAATAACTGTTAATTTTAAAACTTAAAATAGTACAAGGGTCTTTAGTGATATCTTTGCCAACTGTAGAATCAGTGGTATTTAAGCATATCAGAAATTCTCCATCTTTATTTTCTTCAGTAATTTTAGATGATTTGACTGTTGGCTGATAAATTGAGATCTTTTTTTAAAAAAATGAAATTGTTATCACCTACTTGAATCTACCTTAAAGAAAGAAATGAACACCATTTCCACTACTTTGTTGTATCCAGGTGTTACGTGGTGGGGGAGGGGGGAGAAAAAAATAAAGTCACCCAACTGCAACTTTTGCAGATATGTTGTCACTTCAGTTGCATGACCATTCCTATTGTCTGAAATAACTATTTATTAAAAGAAAGTGCTAAAAGAAATTTTTTTTAGCATTCTTTTTCCAAACCAAATTTTTTTAGTAAATGCAGATAACTTCTCTTTGGTCTAGTATTGTTGTATTCATTTGTAGGTTTTAAATAGCTTTGTAGTATTACAAAGTCTCTACCACAGCATTACAAAATCTGTTTTCAAAGTCATAAACTAAATGACTACTTAGATACAGAGGAATGCTGACCTCACAAAAGTCCTAGTGCTGGTATGTGGAAAGATCCATAGTAAGATCCCTACTACTTTCTTTACAAGAAGTTTGGAAGAATGTGATGATCTAGAGTGCACCTCCTGGTGAAGCATATCATGTCACCACATTAGAAAAAACATCCTTCCACTTTGTAGGCAGTCTTCGTCACAAGCATGGGCTGGGTGTGTATATGTGAAGTAGCCAACTACCTGCAGCTCTCCTCTGCCTCCATTGCTATGTGTGTGTGTATGTGTGTGTTCTACTGACCCTCCAAGTCTTTCACTGGTAGAAACCAGAAAAAGAAAGAAAAGACTTTATTATCTTCTCAGGATTGCAACAGACTCCATTACCTAAGGCTCTAACT